AAATGAACAATAATTGGATGGAACTAGAAAAGAAGGCCCAGGACAGAGTGGGTTGGAGAATGCTGGTCAGCGGCCTATGCTCCATTGGGAGTAACAGGCGTAAGTAAGTAAGTAAGTAATAAAATAATCATTCTTTGCTCTAATCTATTATATAATGAAAGGTGGATAATTATTATTCTGAACATATATTCTTTCCTCCAAACTTATCTTCAGACTGCTTAATTGTAAGATTTACTTCTTTAATTTTTCAGATATTCTTAAGAATCTCTTGAACTTCACAATAAGTCCTTTTGCTTTGTATTCATTATAACTTACACTGAATTTCTCAGTATGTAATAACATCTGTTTTGAAAAGAAAAACTTATTCAAAAATAATTTAGGTTAAATGATATTAGTACTCGCATTGTTAACAAGCAATTCTTACAGATACTAGATCACAAATTATCATTGAATTTTGAACTCATTTTTTGGATGATAAAACTAGAAGACATGACAAAATTAGATTTTTAGTATCAGTTCTTTTTTTTAAATTTCGGAAGTGCTCAAGAAATCACATAGGATAAAAACTATGTTTGGAATAAACAATCCTTTACAAATTAGTCAAATGAATAATGTTACTGTTTCTATATAAATGAATGTTGTAAACGAATGAAACTAATAGTGTTTTGGTGAAAAATGTTACGTTCAGTACCAGTCAATCTTTAGGAGGATAATAAAAATTGGATCATCATCGTCATCATCGTCATTATCATCCGAATCATTCTAGTCATCATCTACAAGTGCGTCTCCGAATCTTCAGTAGCTTTCAACCAATTTGATACTACTCAAACCTATTATGGATGTGTCTGGTGTTACTCAGCCGAAGAAATTAGGGTCTTAAATTAAATAAAAAACAGGTAACATAAAGATCAAAGAGTGTAATACCTACTAAATAAACAGGACAGTGACTGGAAATGTCAGATTCTACAATATTTAGTTTTTAGTGCCATTATGCATAGAAATTCTAGTGAATGTTTTAAGAAAAAAAGGAAATAAAAAACTGGGTTTATTTTAAAGATGAGAATCAATTGTCTATTGATCTCTACAAAGTGAGAAAGGTGCTAGAAAGCAAAGCTATAAAATATTAACTATTATTACTAAATACATTATTTAGATAGTTTTTATTATAGAGTGACCGCAATTTGTAAACGCTTTAACTAGGGACTCCTAATAAGTGTATACATAACTTTTCTGGAACAAAGCTCAGGGAGAAGTCTTTACACTGGAAACAGAGATAGAATTTGATAATCTAGAATTCCAAATTCAGTCAATTTACGATAATACGATCAACATACTACTCCATCACTTTAAAAGTCATCTAACAAATTAAGTAGGAATTAAATAATTCCTAGAAACTTCTATGTTGTTAAAATAATAATGATAATAATAATAACGACAACATTGATCGTCCACTGACCAATGAATAGTTACCAGAAATATTCCCTGGGTTCTGGTGAAAGACTATGAGATATGTAGTCCTCCATTAGATGATAGTTGCGCTACATTTCTAATCGTCTTAGACAGAAAATATGGAGCACTACATCTTGCTTCAGTGATCGGAACGTAAGGCGCTTGTTGTTAGATCAAGATAGGGAAAGCCGTAATATATTACATCATAGCTAAGTAAAACTACTTACAAGCATGATGTCATAAGAAACATTCCAATTAAATCACTGCATAGTGTAAGATGTAATTACTAACTTACATATTTATTTCTCTGTCTTTTTGATATATCAAGTCAAACAGGTAGTATCAAAATAATTGAGTAGTATATGTGAATAGGTCTTTTAAATTGTATGACATATCTCCATAGTTTTTTTACTAAACGGGAACTTTATCGATTATCTTAGTTATTTAAACCAGTCACTAAACTGGCATGTTTTTACTACAGTACAAGAACACACTCGAAGATGATTATGGCAAATCTATCTGAAATTCAGGAAGATAGGTTTATTTCACAGAAAAAAAACTTCCATACAAATAAATAGAGCAATTAAAGTTAAGAATCAACAGTACAATAAAATTTTGAACAATTTATATGGTTAAAACGAGGAAAGGCTCTTTATAAGTATATATTTGTTCATACCTTATACCAATATATAAATACCAGTAATGAATAACATTTGAAAAAAAAGAAAAATGTACTATCTTTCTCATAACTATTGAGAGACATTGTTAAACGGTATAACACCGTCAATAACAACAGTTACACTAAATTGGAGTAAAAAGACAAACAATAGATTTAGGGGAAGGGTAAAGTCCGATTTGCCCTTCCTCATATTGCTCCCTGGATAGCGGGTGATCTTTTTCTCCATGGATTAACGCAAGTGGCACATCAGACACTGGACTGACCACCCACTCTACCAAAGATGGAGATCGGGGTAATCATCCACCCTGTCTTAATTCTGATTAACAAAAGATATATTAAATCTGAATTGAGGGTGTGAATGTGGAGCTCCAGAAAGCTTTATTTTGGTGCCTGAACAGACTGTTTGGAAGAGCCCATAAGGTCTGGCAGGGGCGGGCCAGAGCGAAGGCCATAAAGTGTTCTGTAACCAGTGCACATAAGTCAACCCTAAACCTGCTTGTGATATGAACGTGATGTGAGCATATCGTTTATGAGGACCCATTTTATATACTAATTTGAGTACTTGATATTCATTTAGTGATTAAAGCATCTAGGCTACGGCCTGGGGGTGATCTCATCTCTACCTATATACATTCTGTGGCATGCTTGGCTCTCGGTCTATGCGTTCGATATATGCAGGTAACATATGTTTACGAGCAGAAACTTCTGTACCTATCTAGACTCTTAGGAAGAGTGAACTTGTTTGTGCTCTTTATGATTAGATGTACCGTATATCAGCAACCGCACTCATCAATACCTATACATGTATCACTGGAATACATGTATTTCTAATGTGAGAATTTCATTATATGCATACATGACATACTTGAAAGTTCCACTTTCTCCACTGGTGAACTCATAAGTAGTTCATCAGAGCTTTGGCTTACATAAAACATTTCGACATTGATGGGAAAGTGTAGTGTTGCCAAAATGTGTCCGTCTTCCCTATATGTTGGTTAGTTAAAGGAGTTTGTTTTATTAATTTTGTAAATTATATGGATACATTAAACTATTGATTAATTAACATTAACCACTGACAGTTATTATTATGATTATCGTTATTATTATTATTATTATTATTATTATTATTATTATTATTATTATTATTATTATTATTATTATTATTGGCTTTATTCAGTATTATACTTTTTGGTACAATGTCGAATTTTCAGCACAAACTATTTCAACAAGTTTCTTCTAGGAAACTAAAATAGAAAAAAAGCCAATAAGTGCATACATATATACAGAAATAAAGTGAATAATTCACCCAGAATTAAATGAAATGTATTTTTTTTTATAGGAAGATTAGATATATACACAGCTTTTAATTAGAAACATTTTCAAGAATACAAGTTCGATACAATCAAATTTAATTGTCGACCAAATGTTTTAAAGAACATATATTTCACTGTATATTTAAATGTCATCAATGATGGAATCAGTGTTTCTGGTATAAACAACTCTTTACCAACAGTCTTGCATTCTCCTTTGTATTTATCCATTGTTGTCTTATTACATTGAACAAATAACAAGTAACGGTCTAACATCACATACAATACAACAGTAGAGTAAAAATTGGTGAGACTATAATTTATGGATAACCATTGAGTGACTCTAAAGTGACCTTGAGAACATTCACCAACTTACTAGAGCTAAATGACGGTTATAAACCTGTGTGAAGAATAAAGATTATGATTTACAGTTGACGGTTAAGGTGGGGAATTAGATTTAGGGTTTTCATCACGAACTGATATCAGCTATAATGTCAAAACTCTATTTAGCCAAATGGATGGATGACCTTCGCGCTAAGATCCAAGACCTGTTGTCCTAAATTTGATTGATTCGTCCATAAATTGTAGTCTCGCCATGTTTAAAAGAGAGTATTTGTCAGTATTCGTCTACCATAGTAATAAAATCCTTATTTGATGGCATTATTCACCAATTATTTTTCAATTCATAGTCTTATTTCACAACTAGAAGGACTTTATTAGTTACATGTTTAATTATTGATTTTTACGAACCTGAATCCATTGATTTAGTCATGTTGCTACTCAACTCAAGGCCTAAGTTTTCCTGTTACCACACTTCTTAATCTTTATTTTATGACTTTCGTAGTATGATAATGAATTGTATTCGTAAGATTTAGTGAGGATTATTAGAATTCAGATGAAATTACAAAACATTGAATATTATGTTACGTGTTTACACTACCTTCTAATCAACTCTGCTTGTTTATTTAATGTATACTTAGGTGCTGCGGACATCCTTTTCGCAGTAAGCTATAAAAAAATAGAGCCATCTTACATTATCATTGTATTTTACTAAGATACGAACTGACGTTTTTCTTACTATTCTATGAAACTTTTCCTGCTTAATTATAATTGAAATTTTATCACGGCAATGTTTGTCAGATATTTTACACTGTTTCCATTTCAGTAACAAAGTACGTAAATCATTGGTTTTTTTCAAGCAATTCCACTCCTTAATTAAACACACCAACATATTTACTCATTTTCTCTCAACCATAGAAATTTTACCATTAAATAGTGACAGCAATTGAAAAAAAATATGTCATTTAGCAATGACCTATCAGATGCACCAACTAATAGATTTCAGAGGTCTAGAGGACTAGTGTAGTCTGTCAAACCCTAGAAAAAATTGCTTTGATTTGGTTCGCTTGCTTTGCACAGGGTCAAAATTACGCCTCCCCTAGTTTTAGAAACCAGACATGTATGTCAGTTTAATCTGCCTGCCTCTCTAATGTATGAATCAGTCGATTGGCCTAGAGGATAGACAGACACATATAAATTAAAATCGCTCGTGTCACTGAGTCAGCCTGGTCTTCAGGATTGTCCAGTGTTTGAGCCTGCGTGCCAGAATTGGCATCAAGCTTGGCATATGTACTGTAACTAATATATAGGTTGTTATTCAGTACAGCTGCAAACGTTCGCTTCTCTCAGGATTCGAATTGGGATTGTTGTTGATGGTGGTCTATTTTGCCTTGCGAAATTGCATAGAATTTCAGTGAATTTGCACATGTTTTCGGTCTTCACATCCCTAAATATCTACTGATTATTACATCATTCCTGCAGCCCATTCTGGCCGTGGATCACGTTAAATCGTTTGCTTCCATGTCAACGACGGTTGTAGGCCAGAGGCCGGCTCCTCACCGCCCTTTCCGCGGTTTAGTTCAAGTGGGCTACACTCCTTCACGAGCTACACCCCCAGCCACGCCTGTTGATGCGACGACAACGCGTGAGGAGGCGCTTCTTGCAACTTCCGTCAATGGATGTATTACTGGTGTCAGTCATATAAAACCTTTCTTCCTACCCCCTCGTGGTCAAGGAGAGGGAAATCATGGCTCTGTGGAGAAAGGTTTGGGCTACGGGGCATTCGGAGTTGTTTGGTGAGTCGTATATTCCTTGTGTTTTTTTCTAAAGAAATATTATTACTGATTTTAAGATCTACGTTGTTAACACAATTCCACATATACATATTAGTTTCGTGTACTCGTCAAAAGTCTTAAAATTCATTTCGGAAGATAAACTGGTACATCGGTTTGTACTTGAATAACTTCGACAACTGTTGTGAGTTTAGTCAGTTGTTAGCATAGTTTTGCCAGTAAACAATCTCCTTTTTGAATACATGCCATGAATGCTTTGTAGTCCAATTGAATCTAACTCTGAAAAAAATATGGTTAGCCGATCGTCACTAGTAGGCACTGGTAGTAGTTTACTCTCCATTTTATTCTCTGAATGATTTTAAGGCATCAATTCTGCAAAAATTAAACGCCGCAACTCCTTGCTAGTAGTGAATTTTTATATAACCGTTTTTTCTCAATTTCTGAAGAAAAAAACAGTTGTTAATTGGCCTTCTACAGGGCTATGCTACAAGAGAACTTCTGCAATTGAATAATTATCATTTTGTCACTGATTCTATTTCATGGTTCTTCCAAACATCTTATAAAAACGGTCGTATTGATGTATGATTGTGGTTGAGATTCACGGATGGAAAATCTTAATAGTAGTAAAACACTCCTCTCTAAAAAGCTAAAATGACTGACAACTTTGCAAAGAACGCTTGTAGAAATTTTTTCTTCGTTGTCTTCATTGTCTATTTCTTCGTAAAATTTCGTTTAAAGGATTCAGTCAATGTGTTCATTTTATTCTGTGAACCCATGTTTAAGCTTGTAAGGTAACTTGTTCAATAAATTTTGTAAAAGGTACTTAGAATACTCACTTCTTCATGAATTAGGAATATTTGCTAACAGACAAAAGTTTGACTAAGGCCTTATACCACTTATTATCGATTTTTCTTTTGTTATCGAATTTGTCATGATTGATAAAACTAGTATACGGAGTACTAGATAAATGCATTTTCTCAATCACTCTATTATTTGAGGATAACATACTGGGCATTTACACTTTATTGTTTGAAAGGCAAATATCAAGTAATGAGTTTTGTCATGTTTTACTAGAGGATGACCATAGGGTGTGTATTCTGTCCATAGATTCGAATGTATTTGTTTACTAGAGTGATGAAGTCATTCTAATGTTCACTGTATTTCCGGTGTAGATTTAACTACTTCATCTTGTCTTTTTCTGATAATTGCACATTCGTGATCCTCCATCCTAGCAAATTTGATCAAACTAATCATAGTATTTGGGATGAGTCAGTAATAAGATGGTATAATTTCGCTGATAACCCTTCTGTGAGTGTAACAGTTGTATCTTTTGAGTCGGTAGTTAGGTGAAGCGAACAGAACAGTTTCTTCATGACTATTCATTGATATATTTGAGTGCAGACTAGAATACTGCCGAAGCCCACAGATCGAAACAGATATCTTTCTTTAGTGGTCACTCCCAGAGCCTGAAATCCCAATCCACAACCTAAAATTAGGTGAAAATAAATAATAGTCGGTAGGTGTTGTGGATTTAACGCCAGCCCAAATCTATTGAAATAAATGTTTCAATCTTAAGTAATTTTCTTACAAAGATCCAAACGATTGGATTATTGATTCTAATCCAGAATATTCAATCGACAAGTTGAAACTCAGGTCAATATATTTCGGTTAGGTCATCTGGATAGTATTGTTGTATTTAAAACTGTAGTTCGAAGACGAATACATAAATCTAAATGAATTCCATCATGAAATTATATATTTCTTGACTTGATAGGGAATTTGACACTACCTACATTAATGTTAATTTCTGTCGTTCAAAATTTTTGATTATTGTAACTTTTAGCTGCTACTTATTCTCAATTATCTGCAAAAACGGTAAAATTGTCACGAACATTACATCATTCCTAGAATTTCATACCCAATGATTCGTACTGTTTTGTTTTAAGTTTGGTATCACTTTCGTAGGTTATGTTGATTATTCCTGGCTCTCTAGATTTTAGTAGATAGAACTGTGTTAAATCTTCATTGATGGGTAAAGTCAAGTACCTAAAACATCGGGCAGTCGATATTTATTCATATATCTTCGATGATGAGTTGTAAAAGCGTAATTTGATATCACTTTGGAATTTGGGAATTTCGTCAGTGATTGACTGAGTTTACTGATCAGTGAACAGTTGTTTACATTAATTTGTTCATAACATTTTAAAGATTTATGCGTTGCATATAAAATGAGTTCTGTTTAGGCAGGTATTCCGTTTTCAGCTATGAAATTCACATACGAAATCTCTACATCTTTAGTATCGTTTAGTTTTCTCATAACATATATAGTTTGGTTTCTAGAGTACATAAAACTACTTTACTAAGTATGTCCGGCTAAAAGATTCCCTTTCTACTCATCATGATTGTTTAGAGGATACTGTGTTTCTGTTGAGTGGGATTAGTTCCTATCATTCTTAAGATACAAATCAAATGGTTCAGTTATTTCTAAAGCTACTTTCATGCAGTTAATCGACCATATTTTAGTATAAAACCTTTTATTTTGAATAATGACAGTAAGGAGTTATAGTATCTTGGTTAATCTGTATTACCATCTTTATTACATACTTATTGAAATGAGATCTTCAAATCGACTATAAACAAAAAATATATCTAAAAAAGCTTATTCGAATATCCCTTTCGTTATTGCAGCAAATACGTAGTGGACATTATACGGAGTTGATGAACGATTTAATCTTTGAATGTTCACTACTTTGATCGTAATTCCAACCCCACAGTCGTTATTGTGTGATGCTGAAAATCATTGTACCCACTAAAGTTTCTCATAGATGTATGTATCTGTCAAAATTGTACTCTCTCTCTCACGTGAACATCAAATTCACAGCGTAGCTGTTTGGCTGGTGTATTCCATGTACATACTATTAAAATATTTAGGCATCTATAGTTATTATTGGATCTTTTTTTATTTTGACTATTCTGAAGCGTCACTATCTGATCAAAATGTACGTCAGATGTTTAGTTGAACTTTTTGTAATAATCATTATCTAGTTCTGTGATATCTGACTGCTACTAAATTCTGGTAAGTAGATGAAGGGCATAAGTAGATTACTATTAATATATATTAAACACCAATTTGTAGTAGAAAACTGGTCATCATATTAATTTTGTGTATAAAGTGCAGTGCGTGTGCTCAGACCGAAGGTCCTGGGTTCGAGTCCCGCGTGCGGGATCGTGGACACGTGATTCTGAAGAGTCCCATACTAGGACGAGACGACTGTTTCCAGGTTTTCAATGATAGTCTAACATTGATTCATTCATGATATCAATCTAAAATGTGTGTTGTGTTGAATTACCATATCGTGTTTTTTGTAAATCAAAAATAACTATTACTAGCCCTTTTTTAATAAAATACAAAAGAAGTACAACTACTTTTCACCTAACGATTCTCATCCCATTTCCAATCTATATGTTTGACCTACAAATTTTGAGACCTTTCTCTAACGTTTATTTATTTATTTATTTTAACACATAGATATTGGTACAAGAAGGCACCAAATACATATGCGCCACACAAATCTTATTCGATATGTGCGAGGGCTGTGATACTGCCCGGGTGCCCAAACCGAAGCAGGTGGTTTTCTTAGGGGGCCACTCCCCGAGCCTTTGACCTAGAGGTCTGATCCACAAGGCAGTGGAGCATCGTAAGGAGATGCAGTTCCATGGTAGCCGGTGACCAACGATTGGTTCATACGCCATTTGTTCCCGCAGGATACTGGAGCCCATGTGCACCATCAGTTTGGGATCCGGTTAAAGCGCCGGACATTCGCTTTTCGTCCTCTCATTTTTGTAAATAACACCCCCGCCACGAGAAGGCAGTGAGTAGGACTTCCCTGGCAGAGGCTATATACGCGTGGCCATGTGAGAGCATTTCGAGAGGGAGAGCGGACTTTCCCCACTCTCGGCCGTACCAGGGCATTTGGGGGCCTTTCTCTAACGTGGAAAAATCGAAAGTTACTGGTCAATAGTTTTTGTCTCAAATAAAATCCATTTAAACTCAATCACTACGTTGAATCTCACACACTGAATCACACTTTATTTCTTAGTGTCTTAGGCATCTTATTTCTCTTTGTTAATCTTTTCATCGCTAATTTTATCTTTCTACACTACTGAAGTATCAAAGTCTAAGCCTATGTACTTTTTTAGGTGCATTCACTCTTCATTTCTCTTACATCACAAGCTTCTAAATTCATCATAATTTTTTATTTCATTAATTTATATTTAAACCAGTCGAACCTTCCATATCTAATCTTATTACCATAAATACCTTTGCTATCTCTACTACTCTGGGATTCGCCATGACAACCCGCTGTGGTAATATGGTATAGTGAATTGAACAGATGTAGACATATGCAAAATTCTGCGTTTTGACCGATCGTGTACTTTCGTACCAGTCTGTATGTTGATATATTTATCTAATAATCACTAAGTCATTAGTCAAAGGAAGCATTTCTGGTTTTTGTAAGTGCGTTCATTATCACTTTCGGAATGTGGAAAGGTATTGTCATTTACCATAATGGAAAACATCAATGTAATTTGTCCAACTTCAACTAAACCAGTTTCAGTCAGTCAGCTACAACGCAGGACTAGACAAATGTATGCATCGGTCCAAGTTAACACACCTCATCAGCACTACACGATGAACACCAGATTCATAGTTAATTCAGTGATGGTAAAATATAAGGACATAACGCAGGAAGAAAGAATCAGTTCGTAGAAATAAAGGTATAAAGCAATTAAACTAACTTCCTTCATATCCCACTGTTAATTTAGTCTGTATCAACATGGATATCCTACTTGTCAGTGGAGCGACAACTAATGGGTTTTATCAAGCTACTTACGTGTATAGTGAGTGTTATTGTTTGAAAAGTTGGCTTGCAAGGGTGCTTTCATCAGCGAATATTTTAATTTGGTAGTTCACTTTTTCAGTCGTGCTCCGATTTTCATCCGTCTTTAAAAAAAGAATTACGATTAAATGGTTATTGACTGTGGGACTGTTGATAAGTATATATTTCAGCACAATTAAACCAGACTTCTCACATGACATATAATACCATTGAGTCCTATCTCATTTCATTCATTTTAAATGAAGATTCATTTAATCAGTGTACATAGATGACAGTTCCATTTGCTGGCGAGTAGCAATCTCATGAACACAGGGTAAAAATTCAGAAAATATTTAAATGTATTTCTTACCTCCCCGAATGTAACATGATGCTTCAAAACTGGCATATGTTGGCGCTCCATTTGATAATAAGGAGTCCAGTAGTTAAACACTAAATATTTTGATCACCTTGAAAGTTCCATCAATAATGGTAATCTAATAGTTGATGAATTCTCACCACGAATGTGAAAACCTATTTTAACTTTTGCTAACTATCACATGTGATATACTTTGAAGCCTAAGAAAAGACATGCATATCTCAACAATCCTCTTTGTTTTTTTGTGTGAATGTAAAGCAATGTAATATGCAATCATAAGTGTCTTTAAATATTTGTTCGTCTGAGATTTGGTGTTATTATCAAATGAGCAACCTTGACCTTAGGCATGGAATACTAACCTTGATAAGGTTGTAAATCTTCACTAAGTGATATGGTTGGAGGTACGTGTTATACACTGTTTAGATTTTAACATAACACTAGTAATAAGTTAGTATCTTCCCAGTCATAATCGACGTAGACCCAGGTATATCTGTGAGCTGACCCACCATCTTTGCACTACCCTAACTCAATAGTTGGTCAGTCAACTACAACGTAGAAGCCGGCGCGTGTGTGCATCGGTCTAAGTTTTCATACTCTATCAGCACAGGGAAATAAAGTTGTCAGAGTGAATTTTTCGCGAAATTAGAGCATACATATTTGAGCTGCAGTGACGTATCTTCTTATTCGGTCAAACTGGATGGTTTAGTAATGCAGCTTACAGTTGTGTAATGATTGTGTACTCTACATTTTTTATTGACATAGCAGTAAGTAATTTGATACTCCCAAATGCCCTGGTACGGCCGAGGGTGAGGAGAATCAGCTCTCCCTCTCGAAATGCTCTCATATGGCCACGTGCATACAACCACTGCCAGGGTAGTCCTACTCACTACCTTCTCGCGGCTGGGGTGTTGTTTACGAAATTGAGAGGACAAAAAGCGAATGTCTGGCGCTTTAAAGGGGTCGGTGGATACGGAGGGTCCACCTAGAGGAGTTGGAAAACCTTGATTCCAAACCAATGGTGTACATGGGATTCAGGATCCTAAGGAAATAAATGGTATATGAACCTATTGTTAGTCACTGGCTACCATGAGACTGCATCTCCTTACGTTGCTTCACTACCTTGTGGATTAGACCTCTAGGTCAAAGGCTTGGGCCTCCTTATATGAATAACTGCGCAATATGAATTTTTATCAGATTCCTTTTTTCATCATTATAATACTGGTGTTCATCTACAAAAATAAATGAAATCTCAATCAGTATTGTAAGATTTATATATGCTTGTCCCCGAATAATTGATTTTCTTATTATTCTCGTGAAAATTCTAGGTCAGTTATCGATCCACGTGATGGTCAAAAAGTGGCACTCAAACGCATACCACGGGTTTTTCATAATCCTATTACAGCTAAACGTGTTCATCGGGAATTAAAAATGCTCTCTTGTCTTAAACATGAAAATGTAAGTCGAAATCAATGCATTGATGATTGTATATTAGATGTTAATCAAAGTCGTGTTGTAAATAATCGTGTTTATTTCGCATAAATATTTCATCTTTATATCAGAGCGTGTATCTCCTATACATAAGTCTACCTTTATGTTGATTTAAACTATACGTGAATTATTCCATACGACTAACCCTTGTTTGGTGTATATTGTTCGCTCCACTTCTAAGAAAGCAAGAATGAAGTTTTGTGTAGAGCTTACTGGAAAATTGATTTTCAGTCTTTGACAAATTTGTGTAAGAATTCCTGCATACTTTGTATTGGAGAGGTCTTGGATAGGTGGTGACATTTTTTCGACATATCTATATATTCACTAATAGTATTAATCCCTCTTCTCAATTGTTCAATCAGTAACTTTTTTAGATTCAGATCTTGGTTTTTGCTCTCTCCAAAATAATATTTGCGAAAAAACCCTCGACGAACTTGATAATTTGACGTTGAGAAATGGATTTATTCACCTCATTTCTACAAAATAGAATTGTTGATATTTTATTAGATAATTAGTTTAGGTGAACGTGATGTAGTTGAACGCCTATTTCCGTTCTAAAATTGGCCTCAATATTGAAATGAAGTCAATTTGATTTTTTCATCTTGTCAACAGTTGGTTTACCAACGTAGTCAGCATATATTGTTCATTGAACTGATAATCTGAAGGATCGTTGGTTCGAAGGCTACTTCTATTATATAAATAACTTTCTTTTAAGTTCTAACCATTCTTAAATTCAATATTAATTTCAATAGCTGTGATCTATTAAACTAAGAATATAAAATAAAGTTTTCGTTGCAACAGAACAGATAATGTTAATAATTCTAATATGGTATTGCAACTTGGATTAACGTATATTTGGACGAGTCTCTACGTTGTTTATGACTTACTGAATATATAGTATTTTTAAACCACTACAGCAAAATACACTTAATGGTTGGTAGTATTCGAAATTTTGATAATTTTTTAATTCAAATTGTTATTTATTGTAATAGTTAGAATGTAGTATTCACTGAATATGCTCCGAAGTTATCTGTGTTGAAGTATATGATTAATAGCGTCCTAAACACATTCTGCTAACAAACTAAAAGTCTCTGTGATTTATTAGCGTGGGGAATTGTTTGCTAATTAAGTAGACTATAAGTCCAAACTCTTTCCACTCAGTGAAATTCGGTCATTTCGATGGTAGGAGATTAGCTTTGCGCACTTTGATTTGTAACCTAAAATATAAATTCCTATGTAGTTCTCAAGTTAATTGTTATTTTATATTGCCACATTCTTCATTGTAGTTATATTTAACACAATTAAAAAAATATTTTTTCCTGGAATTAATTGTCTTCAACACTCAAACTACTAAAAATCTACGTGAAATATTTCTTTTCCAATTTAAGTAAACTTTTGTGTCTTGAATCTAATTAGCTTGGTATTACTTTGTGTAACAAATTCTATTTCTTACTTTAGTTAGTAACTGGTTAATTATAGCTGCTTCGAGTATCGCCGGTGAACTTTTGTAGTACATTTCTATATATTTATGGATAAACAATGTATATTTTTTAATAGGTAAATATAAAATTAATTTAAACAAATTAGTTTTGATAATATGTGAATAACTAAATGAGTTTGGATATCCCAGACGCTGCGGAATCATTGAAATACAATTATAATTCGCTCAGACCACAATCCAGACGACTTCATATTAATACCGTTGAATAGTTTGGCAACATGTGGTTTAATTGAGCACGTGACTAATTGACTGACATACAAGACCAACTTAGAGCCTGGTATTAACAGTAGCATATCGGTCTATGTTTTGGATAATTTGATTCCATTTGAATTTGAACATTTTCCATCGTGCTTCTAAACAGGGAACGCTTTAACTATTATATTTGCACAGTTTTCTCTTTTGTTTAGAAAAAAACATGAATAGTGTAAATCAGTTGTTCAAAAGCCTTTTCTAAATAGTTACTTACTACCTGTTACCCTTCATGAAGCGTAGGCCTCTGACCAGGATTCTCCAACCAACTCTGTCCTGGTTTTCTAAACGGTACATTAAGTTAACTTGATATGGGTGCCCGTGAATATATATCCCATATGTTTTTCAGTGTTAAATGTATGTGTAATATCAGACATTTTAAGACATTTTCCCACCCATTTAACGGGTGAGGGCTAGATGGATATCAAAGCACTACAGTGGCGTGTTCATAGAAAATATATGTGTGTAGCTTCAGATGACTGAAATGAAATCCGTTGTGAAATTATGCTCTTATATATCCAGAACTCACCCATTAAATGAACGTGAAAAATCCTAGACTATACATTTACTGAACATTTAAATAAGTATGGATAACCTCACACCTTAAATTCACTAGCTTTTTTTTATCATTTTGTTTGTTATATTTTGAAACAAATGGAATAATACATATCTTGTTTTGGTTTTCGTTTCAGATTGTAAATTTAATCGATGTAGTGAAATCGGAAAGTTATTTGAATTTCGAAGAAATGTATCCTTTCATAATAATCATTATATATCATGGTAATGTTGTGATTATTCTTCTTACTGTTAGGACCAGTAATAAACTCAGCTTTATTTTCGCCGCTTGCATATTCTTCTGAGTTGGATAATTTTAAGAATTAAGTAATCACCAATCTAATGTTGTCTATCATGACAACAATGAAAGTCTTGAAGTTATATCCATCATCCCAAGTATGAGAATACTACTAGTATTATACCACAATAATGAAATCTACAATTTTTCTTCATCACTTCAAAATCGTCTCCTGTTTCGACCATCACTGATTAATAAATTTAATCATAATTCATTTCATGCTTTGTATTTTCTTTCCTATTTATTATTTAGCCTATTAAGTGTGTAGGTTTATCAAGTTGTATTGTATCGCTCTAAGCCTTGTGTATAATGAATTATTATGCTACATAATATATATAATTTGAAGGAGCCCATCCTTCATAATAACAATAGCGCTTTATGGTTAATTCTACGTAGAAAACAGGGTTAATGTTCTTTGTCTTAGTTCTTTTTACCTTATTCTGAATTTTTATATACACATCAACTGTGCAAACAATATTTCGTATATAGATGAGACTTGCTTATTTATTCAATTTTTTATTTTCTAATTTTAGTACTATGACTCATCCATTATATCCTGACAATCTATTCATCATCTTCACATGTCCTAAGGTCACGTCCTCTAAACCTCCATATAAATGAATATATGCATGCACATATGTATGAGTGTTCTCCCTCCTCCCTATAAATTTGGTTTAAGGTCAACTGATTCTGATGTTTGGCTGCTTTTTCATCTGTGCCTTGAAAAAAAAGATGGTATGAAAATAGTGGTCTGATAAGCATCATGCTTTGTCCACAGTTTTCTCTTCTACTATTGGTTATTGTCGCCTAAGGAAGCTGTGATTACCTACTCATAATAATGATAATAATAATATTTATTATTATTGTTATCATGAATTGTTTTTAAATGTTGAGTAAGATTTCTTTGTTCTCAGAATGGGTTTTGTGGAGAGTTTTTTTAGAAATTTCACAGGTTGAAATCATGAGTCGATTGGAGTTAGACACCATGGAAAACCTGGAAGCACTGGACGGTCGTTTCGTCCTAGTGTGGGACTCAGCAGTGCGCATCCACGATCCCGCACCACGCACCACGATTAGTATTTACTGTTATTACAATTATTTCTTTTCAACCATGTAGATAAATCCATAGCACTATACTATTACACCATCTATTAAAAACTGTATCTTACACAAATCACAACCTATCTGAAAACTATTCAACTGTAACTACTAAAACTATAAATCGATTCAATTCGTTTAATTGTGGTTATAGTAGCTAATTTGATCAAAGTTCATGGGTTACGTAATAAATAGTTTATTGTATTGAACTAATTAAATTACAATGAAACATTAAATAGTTATAATTTATTATATATTTTGCATAGATTTTGAACTAACAAAGGTCATAGTGATGTTCTAGTTATTATCGATTTACTAAACGTTTTATTAATGCTTGTTATAATGTATCGATCACATCATATGATGACCAGATTTTGATTGTTTAAATAAATATATATAATACATATTTATATCGGTAAACACAAAATGATCATTATTACTACATAATGAAAGTATTAATATTGATGTAGATAACTGTTTTTTAGATGTTAGAAATAAGATTTGATAATATGTGTATTGTGTGAGAAAATAGTCTCTTTATGTGAATAGATCTGTTAAATTGTAAATAGGAAAATATCATCTTGGCTCACACGTAAATAATAAGAGAATCATATTCGTGATTTCTAAATAACAAGTTTGTTTTTACATTGTTCTGGGTATGTTATGTAAATACCTAAATAATATTTAAAGGAATTCATCGGTTTATTTTTATTTGTTTCAAAGAATAATATATAAAAGATTTCTGTAAGCAATGATGGATAGTGGCTAGCAGTGGAATCCAGGACGCGCGTTTCGTTCTATTTGGGACTCGTCAGCTGGATGTACTTGCACCTCAGAGTTGATAACAGATTGATCAACTGCAGTCTTAAACCTCAATGGGAAGATACGGACCAAATAGTACCAATTGAGTTGGAATTCACCCCATTGCACAAGCAAGTGGCTATCAGAACTCAGTAGCTAAGTGGATAACGCGATGGCGTTTGAAGCGAATGGTACTGAGTTCGAGTTCCAGAATGAACATCAACTCAGGTGCAGGTACATCCAACAGACGAGTCCCAAATAGGATTACACTGCTTGCCACTATCCATCATTTCTTACAAAAAGCTTGTGATTTAAGGTAATATCGAGGCATACACACAGTATACACATATGCCAATAACAGACTGATCAATTTCAGTCTTAAACCTCAATGGGAAGATACAAGCCAAATAATACCAAGTAAATATAAAAGATTTTGCTTTTATTGTTAATCGATTTTCTCTATTCCATAAATTATAAAAAAATATGTTTGTTTTCTTCTTAACTAAATTAAATCGATACACTAATTTTCCAATTATCCAATATAGTAGTTAATTGAGCAGTTATGGTCAATTATTCATAGCTTTAAAATTTTTTTACTGTTATTGATTTGTTACAATTGTCACAATCGTGTTTAAACTTGACTATGATGTACATCTTGAATTTTTAGCAGAAATATTTATATTGCCAGTTAATTTACTTTCTTTTATTCATGATAAAATTATACTTCAGTAAGAGAAGAATTATTCTTTGTTATTAATAATGCTTAATAAGGGTATTTAGGCTTCAGTGTATACCTTTTCTAAACAACCTGTGTATAGTAATTACCTTAACTAAATTATTGTTAATTATAGTTACTTTTTGTTTGAATTAATGCAAACGGATCTGCACAAAATTATTGTCTCACCACAGCCATTATCTTTAGACCATGTGAAAATATTTGTTTATCAAATATTACGAGGTAAGTCGATCATTATTATTATTATCACCATTATTATTGATTAATATGTGTTGTTATCTTGCCAATATCGAAGAATAATGTATTACTTCTCACTGAGAAATGAGAACTGAATAATTAAATGCAACATGAAATCATATGCGATCGCTTCATCTCAACCAAGTATTACACAGTTAATATTTAAAAGTCTGTCATGACCAATCGGTCATCGTCGTGTATAGAAAAAATGATTACTTTCCTGAATAGCTCATCACTTATTATGGCACGTACTTATTACTAGTTTGATAGTGATGGTCTGTTAACAACTAATGAATGTTTTAAATCACGTTGAAAATACTGTGATTTTCATTTGAATTTCTTCTATAACTAATTCTTTCGTGTTTTTACTCAATAATAGATAACCAAAATTGTTTGGTTAAAAGTGATGATAACAAGGTATAAAGTGGATCATTGAAAGATGTGGATAGGTGGAAGGACTAGAATGAAAAAAATTCCTGATGCTAATGTTTTTTAACATGTTAAGGTAATGATAAATAATGAAGGTGGAGCGGTGGCTTAATGTTTAAAGTGTTCGACTTTCATCCATTAAGTCCAAGCTTCAAATTCTGTTCAACTTACATCGGCTTCGATAATTGAACAATATCATTGGCACTCACATATGGAGTGTACAAATCCAAGTACCTTTTGAATGAGTTAATTAAGACAATGAGCATTTGTATACAACTTAGTCTTTACTCTATAAGCAAACCTGATTTCTGCATCCCTTGATCTCCTAGTCTGTTTATTGGGTTAATACTCGAAATGTGAATGAATGTGTGAGAATAATCTAGTTAAACTGGATTAATTTTATGATTGGTGACTCTTAAACTAAACATAATAACATAAATAATTTAGGGAAGTAATTTCACGACATAGGGAACCTAAATAGATCTCAATTCTTTTATGGCTAACGTTTGTTAAAATCTACTAAACTGAATTCAAATACGTAGCAGATTCGGTAAGGTTGTTGATGATCTTAGTATAAGTTTTTGCCATCTGAGTACTTCTCATCAATTTTTCGTTATCATGTAGTTTATTTAATAGAAAATGTAATTCAAAACTCATTTATTTTGTGTGTGATATATAGCATCAAGTAACTAAAATTTTCCACATGGAGGACATATTAGATCCCCTGTCATTTATTTATAGAATTACTGTAGTCTACGTGTTTATCTCATTACTTATTCATATTTTATCTAAATGGGTATCAGATGATGATGTCTTACGATCAGTACTCCTACGTATGATTTTTGTTAATCATTCTGCATAAGTATAACTCAAATGTTTGTCATTCTCTAGAATGACTAATGATCTATACTCTTTATGAAAAAGGGCGTGATTTGTAGTCTGGTGCATGAGACTACATTATCTATATATAATTCATAAGCTGAACAGTAAACACTAAAATACTGATAGAATGTCAGAATACTCATGCTGCTAAAACAACGATTTTGAATTTATTGTCTATTCTAACCTAAATGTTGATTTAATTGTTAACAATTAACACTTTTCAACCTATAAACTGTACTTAGTTCATCTTAAAAGTGAAATGTATTGTTTAATTCAGTCCTAAGAAGAATAAATATTATTCGAGTGATATTTGTTATAATTTAATTGAAATAACTAACTACTTCACCAACGTTTTATAAAAGGATATTTCTATCTTTAGATTAACCTCTATTTCAGTGGTTTTTTTCCTGTGTTTCTCTTTTGAATATATGATCATTTTGCTTTGTTTTTTTACTTACCTTTCCCATTATTATATACGGGATACATAGGTTTAAAATATCTTCATTCAGCTCGGATTATACATCGTGATATTAAACCAGGAAATATGTTGGTCAATTCGAACTGTCTGCTAAAAGTAAGCAGATAACAATTTTTCTTGTTTACTATCAGTACAATCCATAAATTTCGTTAGATATTAGTGATTACATAATGACTGGAATATATTTTTTTGCTCATTGTTATGGAGAATCGGTTTAATGGTTAATACGTGCAAGTTTCAAGGACTGAATTGAATGGTTGGAAACCAGTTGAATAGTATCACATACTCTTATAAGTGTAAAGCAAAGTGGAGCACAAGAAACGGTACTTCATTTTGGAACTTTATCATTTAGTTTTGTGGTTTTCTTATTACAGTTAAGGTTTGTCCTGTTATCATGACTTAAATTCTCGATTCACTATATTACTTGGGATTCAATTATATTAATCAATTATGAAGTTAGGCAATAGAATATTTGTTTATAGTAGTCTGAACAAAGTCTGAAATGATTTTGACTCATCGTTAGATTGTAATTATTCTATTCCACTAACCATGCGAACTTAGTCTACGTTTAGTGCGTGTGTCTGTGTGTGTAACATCCTCATCAAGTAATATCCATTGTCAGTAAAGGTATCTTAATTAGTGATAGAATTAATCTTTGAACTGCTGTGACGTTATCTGTAGGGGTTTTTTTGTCAGTGTTGCTGATGTTAAGGATTGAAATTGGTCAGTTCCTATTAGTATACGTGCTTTCTGAGCGGATTGCCTCGATGTTTTCTTTTAATTACAAGTTCTTAGTACATTTGTTTTGTAGGTAACAGTGAAATCCTAGGTGTGCATGTCTTCCTACTTGAGGTTTGCTATCTGGTTCAGCAGCTTATTGAATAACGCGTTGGTATTTGAAATGATAGGTTCTAGTTTCAAGATCACGATCATTACCGGTACATAAATCCATCAAGCTGATGATACCTAAGATGAGAAGCACTCACAAGATATTCCAATATTAATCTCACTCAAAATATACTACAAACTGTGGCACTGGTTCTGCAGCTTCCATTATTCAGTGCTCGTATTCGTAGTTTTAACTAACCTAAGTATAATATATAGTTTACTTATGATATATATATCTGAAACCCAGATAATGTAGAGAAATGAATTCCTGAAGTTTCATTATCTTATTTTTGCGATTCCTTTGAGGAATGAATAACCTTGTTCAAGCTGACAATGGATGAAATAGCAAAAGAGGTGAATAAAATCACGAAGAGTGATGAATATATATTTAAACAGGCACAAAATCCCCATTGCTGTGCTATTGTCATTTAGGATATAAATGATAACCCATCATTAACTGTGTTAATACTTGTGAATAGTTACTAAATTTGAGATCTAAAGTATTGATGAATCATTTTACGTGTCATATACATTTGTATCGTAAATCTTATGAGCATGAAAAATGAGATAATCCGGACCTATGGTTCTATTACAGTGAAATACTATACCGCGAATATATTTAATGTTAATATTAACGGTCATTGAAGATAACATCTACATATATTAATTAGTTCGATTAGCGAATATTCTTGTTCTATAAGGCTTCAGTAAGGCCTTTCTTTATGGATTTTAATTGTACATAAAAATATTTACAATATAGGCTGAATTATATTCTCGACAACTCACTATGTAGACACAGTTCTGTGTATGAGTTAACAGTAATCTGTTTTGATAAAAATTAAATCATCATTTCACCATTCTTTAAGAATGAAATAATTGTCAGTTAACAAATTTCTTCTAATCAAATAGTTAGAAATCGGTAATTTTGCAATAATCATTCGCACTTTGAAGTATCAATTCACTACTCAAATGTTCTGTCACTCGTCTACCACCTAGCACCAGGCACACATACATCGGTCTACGTTACCATACCTCATTAGCACTACACGATGAACACCAGATTCATAGAAGCAGTTATCTCAATGGTAGTATTATATAAAAGAAAGATTGCATATAAGGATATAATGCAGGAAGAAAAAATCTATTCGAAGAAAGAAAGGTATAAAGTGATTTTAATCTTATGGTTCAAAGGAAGACAAAGGGTGTATACACCTACGCGATTGTGATCGATTGTGAGCCATGTCATCCAGAATCTCTAACCACTGACTACGATAGTCGCGCGGACTCCAACCAAGTAGTCTCAAATAGAATATATCCTGACATTTTACTGAAGATGTTTTCAAGATGATCCATTCATTTTTCGAAATAACAAAAATGTATTATTCAAACAGATTATCTGATAGCACTGAGGAAGTTTAAATGTTTATATTCAAAAGTTATCAACGTTTATTGTTTTATTCACTATTTCTTTGTTAATAAATGTGTGAATCTTTCAAATTTGATTAAAAATCTGAACTAATTTAATAGTTAATTTAACAATTTAATAAATAACTGTTTGATTAATCATTATTTTAGTCAGGCGCCTTTCTTTTCCTTTATAAGATTTAATCATATTTTTTAAATTCTATATAGATATGTGATTTTGGTTTGGCACGAATTGATGATCCATTTGGAGAGGCTGTTCTTACACAAGAGGTTGTTACACAATATTATCGATCGCCGGAACTACTTATGGAAGCAACACGTTATTCATATGCCGTAGATATTTGGAGTGTTGGATGTACTTTTGCTGAATTATTAGGTCGACGTATTCTATTCCCAGTAAGTAAAATAAATTTGGTTTTATCTGGTTGATATAACTCATTTACTAAGTTGAAATTTGTGTACTCGGTTTTTATGAACACTATACTTCGATTAATTAATGGGGATATTAATACTACTAATCGACAATTCGAACTGTAATAAATGGACCAGGGATCAAACTCATTATTTGAAAGTGGAATTTTCTTAACCACTAAGCTACCATTTTATTGTCTAATGACAATTATTTTCCTTTTCTTTCCAAAATCTGATCATTATTTTCTCATGAACTGGTATGTAGATGTCATTGTGAAATTTCGTTTTATTAATTAAAAATGACGCAATAAAATGAAAGATATAGAATTTTAAAGTTTTATCATACACTTTATTCCTTTACTGCTTTAAGTATATACTCTATGGTTTGATAAACGAAATGCATGATGTGTGAAAGCAAAAGATACGTCTAGGCTGCAGGATTTTGGTCACAGGCATCGTCTAACCATAACTCATGCTTCGTGGAGCAACCAAGTGACCGATGTTGAGGTTAGGATGTATAACCTTTAATTTTTGTAGGGAGAAAAATATACATTTAGACCACTGAATCAGAATATGTTAGTTCACATCCCATCTTTAACCATCACTAAACCTGAGGTGAAACCAGTGACCAATGTTTCTCTGGTTAATGTCAATACTCATTGGATGTTCACTTCAATTTAAACAATTTTTTCCATAAAGCTTACCATGAATATCTCTAGTTTAAACTGTGTGTAATATATGCATTCCTTTCTAATGTTTATCTAAAAATGTACACCACTTTCTGCGTGTCCATACTAACGAATTATTCATTGAAGTAAAATCCCAGTGAGTTTTACTTCTTTATTTACATTTCTTATAGCTTTTTTATGAAGTTATGCGCTCTGTTTCCTATTCTCCCTTATTATATATATACTTTTGTGTCCGAAGCGATGATGGGAATTACTATTTTTCTTCCTTTCCTTCAACTGATTTATTGATCGAATAACCTTAGTCATCGTTATCATCATCATTCTGTTACTATTATTATTGTTGTGTTGTTTATGATGTCAAAAATCTAGCTTATTCTATCAGGCCTTAAAATGATCACTTTTTTCAAGTTCATCTGTTTGTTTATTTATTTCTCTTCTATCCTTGTACATGTATATAAGTATATGAGAAAATGTATTTCAATACAATATACATACATACATGCGCATATTAATCTGTAAAAGAAGAGAAAACACTACTTTTAATTTTTTTCTAGTAGTACCCTCGAAGTATTTAAACCTATGAGATTAATGTCAGGATGGGTGGTGTTTCTAAACCCTCTTTTTGGAGAACTGAAAAGTGATGAATATCTATCCGAAGTCCATCGATAAAAAAGTACATATTTAGTTCATTACAAAAGCAAATGAACTTTCATAAATTGTACAATAAATGAATGGACTGGTTGTCTTATGCATGTACATCGGCTTTTCTAGACTGATTAGATGATGACATATCATGAAAAACTTAAAAGATTCAGTCGCAGTTTCATTACTCAACCAAACTTTATTAGTAGTATAGTTTCATGTAGATTGGAAGACTTTCACAGTTTACATCACAAACTGATCTTCAAAAACCCTATGCTGATAATAATCATGAGCTCATTAGTGACTAGCTTCATAATGTGATTCTTGGAATTCTAGTTAGAAACCGTGACCAGTGAAGTTCAGCTGTATAATGTGTGTGACAGTTATCCATCGCAGGCAGTGGAAGATCGTCGTGCAATATTGTGAATCGACTGAAGTTAAACATATACACTATTAAATAACCGATTCGGTGACCAAACGGTTATGCGTTCGTGAGCGAAATAGAAGGTTCTAAGTCTGGTTCCCTGTGGAAGGGTCCATACTGCTGAGGAGTCTCACATTAGGACAAAAAGGCTCCGGTACTTCTTGGTTTTCAGTAGTGGTCTAGCTAAGGTCAATTCGTGATGCAATCTCTGGTGCATGTAATGTGTTTTTGTTTATCAATGATTGAATTTAAAGTCCTGCTATTGCTTTGCATATATAAATTTATAGTTATGTTATTCAGGTATTACATTTACATGTCAATTATTGCGTTTGAATATCTGACATTTCACTTAATACTTGTAATATTGTCGAATCAGCCTAGACTAGAAGTTAGTTACTCTCATTTGAATATTTTATGAACATAATATGCAACGAATTACCAGTTATTCATTCACTAAAGTATTTCATCGATCGGTTTTGTTGTCATTAAAAGAATTAATATGAATTTATGGGTATTTGATAATTGATTTCTACCTTGTATGTGTATGTTTGGGTATGGCGATACGAAATAATAATCTTCCCTTTACCAAACTGGTAACTACTGCCGAAAACCATTAGTTGAATAATTCATGAGATTTTGAGTGGAATGATAAATGCATTTGTATATCATGTACTCTAAATTACAAGACACAAAAACATGTGAAGTAAACTAGATATTACCTGCTTCAGTTTGGGCACCCGGGCAGTATTCCAGCCCTAACACAAATGTCAAAGTGTGGTGCATATGTATTTGGTGCCTCCTTGTACCAATGTTTATATGTTTAAATAAATAAACTAGATATTTAGGTCAAATAATTTTATCACACGATACTTACACCAATATACAGTGTTAATCCTTATTTTCCAGTGACATATTAACCTTAAAATGTTTAGAAAAATACTTATTTGGTTTTCATTCACTTCACACATCAGGTCTTTATATTTGTTTTATTTAATCGATTTCTGATTGTTACAGTTTTTTGTGCAAATACGGAAACTTAAATCATTATTACATAATATAATAAAAGTATAAGATAGAAGTGAGCTTGAGAATTCTTGAAATGACTGATTGATTTGAAGCCACTTTTCAGCCAATGAGTTTAGTCTGTATAAATAAAAATTATTTCATAGTGGCAATGATGAAACCTGTTATAGTTTAGTAATCTTGTAACGTATATTAGTTTTACAATAGCAATGACTCAGATTCATTCACATTTTATTTTCCTCTCGGTCTTGAATTCCAGGATTCCTTCATATATCACCTTAGTTTATCTTGTTAAGACCGTATTTTCGATGTTTAGTCGTAATTTCACTGGTTTTACGTGGGGACCCAAGCGAAATAGGTGGTTTTCTTGGAAGACTACTTCAAGAGGCTATATTCTCATCCAGTTCCATGGTAGTTGGTGACCGGTACACGTTCATACGCCGTTAGGTCCCTCAGAACTCTGAAGCCTATCTACACCATAGCCTGGTTTCCTAACTCTCATAGGTAGTCTCCCCTGTATCCACCAACGCAGTCTAAGCACCGAACGTCTTTTTTAGTCATCTTATTCCCGTTTGAGCACCACCACCACGTGAAGGTAGTGAGTGGAACTTCCTTGATAGAGACTACAGGTTAATTTAAGATGAAGGATTTGAGACATATTATTTCGTCTTAGTAGAACTCGTGTAAGTAGCCAAACACACAGGTTTTATTTATATCTTTAGGTTATTTTTCATCAAAATTAATTATTTCCACCTAATTTGTCTCAATTTATTCCTTTTTTCTAGGCTCGAAGTCCTTTAGAACAATTAGAATTGATTATTAATCTTACTGGAAGTCCTAGTCCTGGAGATTTAGAAAGTTGTCATCCAGATGCATGTTGTTTTGTACTTTCATCAAGATTACGTGATCCCAATCTTTCTATTCTTTATGCTCTTACACCTGATGTGAATGAATTAACTGTTCATCTATTGGGTAGTATGCTCAAATTCAATCCGGTTAGTTGAATAACATTAATATGGAAATTTTCTACTATATTTTAATTTTTTTATTGATTAACAAGCCAAACATATATGGTAAGTTAAATATCGATATCCATGTTTCGATTGTTTGAAATGAAAATTTACTAGGTTCACGCATAATCATTTAGTTTTTTTTTCATTGGACCGTCTTATGAAAACGATAAACATGTAACTGTTCTAGGTTTTAGTTTAGTGAGTTTCGTCTGCCTCTAGTTCTTTTGCAGCAAATCCATTTGAAACAATAATATTAATGGTACTTACTTTAAGTTGAATTAAACAAATGACGAATGCTATCTCACGTATTAGGATAATGTTAAAAATTATGGATTTCGGTTGTTAAATATTCACCTGAAAATTTAAATCACCACTCTTAACTTCCGAATTTATCTAGACTAGTAGACTTTATCTCAGGTGGATTGGTGAGCTTTCATTTTCAATGCAAATAAACTTTCTTACTGGAATATTGCTTACGTACATACATTTCAGAAATGTAATATGCACACACACACACTAGTACTCATATGAATAGATTTTAAGCGAAAATCCATATCAGTGTAAGCACAACTGTATGCTGTTTCAAAACATTAGGAGCCATCAAATGTTAGTACCTGGTTGGCGAATCATAAAAACCCAGCTATAATATCTATACAAAAGTGTCAATGGAAAATCTAATCTACACATAGATCAATAAACGTTCAATATAGGCTAACAATCGTAACGCAGAAATCATCGGTACCTTTCCCAGTCTCTTTAAAATACAGACCCAGAAAAATTTATCAAATACCATTGTTTCGAGAGTTGTTTTTTCTTCTTTAAGTAAAATTGCCAACAGCAAGACATTAAACAGTATTTAATATTATTTATTTGAACATTGAAGTAAATAAACATTCGTATCGATACCGGTTAGTAGGATTGTTTTTTTCTCCGTCTGATCCATCGATCGACTAAGCGCGAATGACGCATTTTTAGACATGTCCATTTTTGTTAGTAGATGGGTCTGTCTATGTCTAAGTGTGTTTATGCAACTAAATATTGACTACAATTATCATCATTCACATTCACATCACTCTTCCAATCCATTTGAATGAGTAGTTACAATATTTTGTTTTTCACTCGCCTACACACACACATTCTCTCATCATCCCTCAAGGTTTGGAGATTGAGTATGCATCCTTATTTTTTTTATTCGGTCTGAATCTCATGAGTATGTTATTGTTATTGTCGTATTATTATTGTTTATTATGTATATACAGGATAAACATGTTCACATTTTAGACTAAACAATTATTGTTACTGACTGACTAGATCTTAACGACACACTACTACTGTATAACCTCATATTATTTTTTCTATTGAAACCTTTCCAGCTTAATAGGGTGTAGTTTAGTTCTACTCAAGCATATGGCGACAATGATCGACATATTTGTGTGTAGTCAATTTGTAATCCTATATCATATATAATTGCACATAAGGTTAACTATTTCACAGCTACACTTTCAAAAGTCATACTAACGAGTTACTAGTTATTTTTGTCAGGGACCTGCTTAAAATAACCGCGACGAATTTTCAGCCAGTTCTTAACTAATCAGAAACAGGTTTTGTAAATCGGATAGATTATGGAAAACGAGACAATAGTATTACCGTGTAAACAGACTTTGCATCTTTAGTATACCCGCTAAAGTCTTCTACAAGCTAACCTACTTGTAAATTGAAAAAGTTTAGATTATCCGTCTTCCCGAATACTCATAAAGATCCAAACAGATTTTTGTAAATGTCCTCCTAGTTGTTCTTAGTTAGGGTTAGATATTTATGGTATGGATTAAAGGTTTAGGGTTATGGATTTTACCACAGATGGATCTAACGCCAAAAAGCAAGAGGGGTTGTCTGTTTACTTTGTCCATAAAATATAATGTTAACACTGTTTGTTTCAGGATTAAATTTACTATTATTGTTGATTTGTCTTTTACAATAGTATGTAGCGAGAGAATTGAATATTTATCTCGTTTGCCATCATCATATTTAGTTTTAGTAGGCAAAAACGTATTCCTACTTCTTGTCGTTAAACATGAAATTTGGATTTCACTTAAACGCCTAAAAGTCGGGTTTCTTAGCTCTGATTGACAGGTCCCTATACTATACTATACTATACTTTTACCGTTATTTTATTTTGTAAACATTCCCATCATTCAAATATACCAACACATTTTATTCATTCTGCGCCTAGTCTATTTTCCATCGAAAAAATCTTATGTATTCAATAGACGGATAGAATTTTCCTAAAAGGATCTGGGGTATAGATTTCAAGTCATAATATAAAGGTGGTTAGTACTTAATTTCTTGTTTTTTTGGGTTTATTACATTAACTCATTCACCAGACACTTGAGTATGAGCCACTTTCTAAGTCCCAGGGCTAATGATACTACTACCTAGTCACTCAGACCAAAGTAGGTAGAGCTGGGTTCGATCCTGAGACTTCGTGGTTGAAAGTCGAACGCATCAACCACTAGGCAATCACTTCACTAAATTGTCTTGTTTTTCAATGCATTTTTCTTCTGTTTGTGTGTGAACAGCTTATGCATCGGTTATATTTATTTTCATGACCTTCATTTCTCTGTCGTGTATTGAGAGAAATTTTATGATAAAGATGTTTTTCTTAAAACTATCGATATTGTCTATTATTTCTACCATTTTGATAACTGACTGATTGAATAAAATGTTTCGTAAATATTATCACAAAACGCTTCTCACATGGACTATTTTCCTCACGATAACCTCATACAATTCCATCATTTTTCTGTTAAAGAACGTTGAATGTTGTTTTGTCTGAAACGAAGTTTTCTATTTAAAGTCGATTTATCATTCAATTATTTTGTTAATAAAGTCAAATGATAATTTTTAATGTCAACATATCGTAAATTACAAATTATTGTTTTTTCCATTGTAGTAAGTAAATTTTCCAATCTTAAAATGCAAAGACAAACAATTTACTTCATTTTAAAAATATGTCAGTTTTTTCTACACAAAAATATGTATTACTTAATCATAGTGCAAACTTTAACAAAATTATGAGCTTGTGGTGATAGTTGAGTTTCATTGGAATTAGGAACCGATCTAAGAGAGATTTTTGGTCTCGCATTTGAACACCTAACCCTTAAACCAATGAGTTGAGATCCGATTCTTACATATATATATATATATATATATATATATATATATATATATATATATATATATATATATATATATATATATGTTTTTCACTTTTAGCGTCAGCGCATTTCTGCTACCGATGCATTAAATCATCCATTTCTGGAAGAAGCACGTCTACGTTATCATTCATGTATGTGTTCTTGTTGTCATGATGTCACATTGAACTCTGTCAATGATGATAATGTTCAAACAACAGCTGGATTTTGTTGTGCTCCATCATCATCAGCCTCATCATCATGTGCTTCATCATCGACTCCGTCGTCTGATTCAATACAAAGTATTAATGGAAAATGTTTGCATAGATATGAAGCGAAAACTGCTGCTAATGCTATGCCATCAGGTAGTGGGAATTCAACATTTTCTTCTTCTAATGCTACTACCACCAGTGGTCCTACACCTAGAAGACGTTATTTTCATGATCTTGATCCAATTTGTTCAATTCTACTTCCACTTGATTTAGATTCAGGATTTCGTCGTCTCTCCGATGCTAAACGTAAGTTTATTTGTGGAAAGTCAAAATGAACAGATTTATCTAAAAAACAAATGTCACTTTTAAGTGATTATTTTTTAAATCAATTAAGGAGGATAGCTGTAATCATTTGTTTTGTCCTATTCCGCTAGTGTCTCAACCAGCACATACTACTTCATGCATGAGATTAAATCTATCAAATGTAGGTTGTTCAGCGAAGACGTGATATTCAGAAAAATTAATATGTATCCAGTAACTATATTTCTAGCTTTATTAAGCAATTATCAAATTACTGTCAAAAAAGTTTGTGTTGTACTAGTCAACCGATATAATTTTAAGATTTAAAATTCAAAAGTGCCTATGCTGTAGTTCGAAGATCTTACCAACAAGTATCGTTTTAATTGGCACTCTTCATTAAAAGAAATTTCTCGCATATGGAAAATGCTTCGTGTGATCTATGCCTCAGCTGAGGAAGGCAGAGGACCCTAGTTGTCAAAATTTTTAATTATTACTATAGGAAGATTTGTGGAGATTGTAGAATTTTCGTCGTTCAACTCACGAGCTGATCTTAGACCACTACTAAAAACGTGGAAGCACTGGATGGCTGTCTCGACCTAATATAACCAATGATCTAGAGGTTAAGCGTTTGTACGCGAGGTCGTAGGTCTTGTGTTCGAGTCCAAGGTTCATGGCTGTGGATGAGCACTTCTGAGAAGCTTTATACAAAGATAGAAAAACCTTCCAGATATTTAATGGTGGTCTTGCTAAGATCATTTTTCTGATTTTCAAATAATCGGGCCTTTAGGTATTTGAATTCACGACTCACCTTTATATATATTATATATATTTAGTCGATTACATATTTGTTTATAAATAATTATCATCGTCTTTTTATTCGTATGAATTGCTTTTTGCAAATTACGGTAACAGGTGTTTTATGGGATGGTATACAAGAATATTATCGTCGAGATGATCGGTTAACAAGGGTTGTGCTCAATCGAAATGCTGCCAATTACAACAGTTTTATTAAGTAAGTATTTATCATTTCAACTGTTTACAGTGTGTTTTGATATTGAAGTTTCGTGTTCTAGACGAAACTTTATTCCACAATGAAATAATTCTTAACCTATAAACATGTCTCTTAGAATTTAGCTTAGCGATAATGAAACGAATAATATGTCCAAGGAATAACTAGAAAAGCGTTTGTCAGTCATCAAAGTGATGTTCAACCTGATTTAAATTGTAATATTGAAACACTTGTAAAAGTAGCGGTGATATTTACCATTAATTTGAATCAAAAGTTAATTTATTTATTTAAATACATAAACATTGGTACAAGGAAGCACCAAATGGATGTGCGCCATATAAATCATTTGATTTATGTTGAGGGCTGGGATACTACCTGGGTGCCCAAACCGAAGCAGGTTAACAATAGTTGATGGATATCCAGAAACTCATCCCGTCAGGTGCAGAACATGATGAGGGTGAAAGACAACAAGATATAATGATTAGTGGCCACATTGCAACTTGGTCTATAGGATTCGATCTGCAGTAAGAAGGACCTGACATACACGACATTAATCACCACGTAGTGATCAATCAATTGTAAATAAATCTCAACCCTACGAGAGGTCAGTCGCGGCCTGGATAGCCAAGTGGTAACGTCTCTGACTGTGAAGCTGGGTGACGTGTGATCGAATCAGTCAGGGAGCACCAATCCCCTTAAGATTACAGGTACACTTTGCTGACGAATGCCTAGTAGCACGAAACTTAGGTCCAGGGTTTCCTGTTGACTACCTCCAATCATCATCGTAAATAGGTATCAAGAATTTGAGAGTTAGTGAAAATATTTCTGATAAAGATAGGACAATAATTCACTCTTAGGTAAGATGATTTAAAACTTTGAAGATTATTCGAACTAATCTGCAGTTAATCCACTCGCGTTACACATTCTACTACCGCTAATGCTGTTACCACTTATACCTCTCTGACATCTCGCTGTACTGATGTGGTGTGGACATTTCAGTCCCAGGTCTCACGCTGCGTTTGGCTGACTCACTAATGTTTCTATAACTCGAAATCGAAAGTAGTCCAATTCTCCGGTTTACAGTGATAATTTAATTTATCATTATGCTTAAACCACCGTGATTGTTGTGATGGTTTTTTCCTTTCACGATGTTCGCTATGTAATAAATTGTTACCATTTTGTGAAATTAATCACCTGTTTCTTGGACGTTGTATTTTTGTCTGTTTTATTTGTTTCTTTTCTCTTCTTAAAAAAAGTGCTTACATTTAACTTAGTGCTTGTGTAACGCTTTTTTCACTCACTTTTTGAAAGACAACGAGACGTTGTTGTGCATATTCTGTGTGAAAAAAATATATACCTTGTTAGACTAGACATATATTATCTTACTACCAAAAAAAGACAGACTTTCTTTAACGACATATGTGGATGAATTACAACTATCTTTGTCTGATATATGTGTGTATGTATGAGTGAGAGGACATTAGATACGAATTTTGATCAACAGTTGAATTCACTGTCATTACATTGCATGGTGTGGCCTAAAATTATTATTATTACTGCGGTTGTACATATACGTCTATGCCTGAGTATACAAATGGATATTGGTACATTTTTTCCTAATGTTTCAATCAGTCTGTTCGACATATCACTTTTTGGGAACAATAAAAAACTTTTGATTATCAAAGTTTACTATATAGTAAACTACTTAATGCTGAATTGAACAAGGCCTGAATTTGAAGAAAGTTGAATGAAAAGATATTCTAGGTATTGCTCAGGACACTGGATACTGGCTAGCAGTGGGATTCTCGAAGATGACTCACCTTTTATTCTTTTTGAGTCTGGTTAGCTGGATTTACTTTTATCTCATTGTTGTTATTCTTACTGGGATTTGAGACCAATTACCTTTTAAGTCCAACCGTAATATAAGTCATGAAAGGATTGTATACACTTTTCTGGATTTGCCGTAAGTAGTAATGTAATGTTACTGATGATATTCTGTTTAATGTATTATTTTCATTTACTAATTCAGTCGGGTAGTTATTCGGTTGCAAGTTGGAAGATTAGACAGTTGATTTACATTTGTTCACTAATTTAATTTGCTCTAATCGTTTCACTTTATTTTGGAAAGTGTAAAAAATATTTAACGCTTTTTTAATGTTTATTATCTCCTACACAGTTCTTCAGTTGCACAAGCCAAAGAAATCCCTGCTAGTCATCGTTGGCATTAATCGTCAAAACTAGGCAATTACTCATAACGGTTTATCAATATACATGTATCAAGTCGAAATTTGTATGTAACCATTTTGTAAGGTATTTTAATGCTAGATGCTGTTTTTTTTCTGAAAACGTGATATTTTTCCCATCAAAAAATCACACTGATTGGTAATTGTCTTCCAATACTCTATTATACTACAACAGAAAACCAATAATACACATAGGAGAATGGTGCTTTCCTCCCTATTGCCCATTGTCGCCCACCTTCATCTACTTCACATCAATTTTTAGCGAGAACATAGGACACAGTATGAATATGTGAAAACATTGTCAGAATATTCACCATTTTATTTACTGTCATCTTTATATACATCCATCTGATCGGTTCTATAGTTGATCACCCTCTGCTTTACATCATCAATATTGTTGTAATTTCTTAATATGTCTTTTTATTGCTTACAAAAACAAACACTTGTTGTCATTGTCTTATTTTTATTGCTTTTATGCCTCCATTTTAATAATTGTCTGAAAGTTTTTGTGCAATTTCTTTTCGCTTGAATTTTCTTAGGTTTAATTTATTTCCGTATATGTATGAGCATCATTTTTATGTGTTCTTTAATATTCTTTTTGAAACAAAACATTAATTATTGTTAGTTGTCTGTGCTGTGTTAGTTTGTGCTTTCGTTTATCTCGTTCACCCATCGACCCCACCTAACACGTTATGTTATTATCACCATGATCGCCATTTGTTCTTTGTTTTATTTATTTTTCTTTGCATCACAAACAATCAACAACGTTATTTGATTTCATTTTTAATTAAAAAGAGAAAGTGTTACACGTACCGAAACACATAAACTCATGCACACACAAACTTGCATTCGCTTCTTCCTAGTTTTATAATAATCATATAGGCTTTCGTTCATTATTCAATCATGCCAAAAGAGCTTTCTTTATTTTTTTTCCTTTATTTGTTTCACTCTAATGTTGCAATACTGTGTGTCTGTGTATGACCCATTCTTGTATTTTTTTAGGTTAAACTAGTTTAATATTTATTGACTTTCTTTATCTCTCTCTATGTGTATGTATAGGACAATTTGACTCTAATCAAATCCAAGTACATACACAATACTTAGTTTCGTATTATTGAAGCAGGGAAATCCTTTTGATTGCTTGTTTATGAAGTTGGAATTCCTGTTTCTTTCTCTCTTTCTGTGTACGTGTGTGCATCGTAGCTCAGGTTTGAACACAAAAATTTGCACGATACTGAACTTTTCCACAAAGAAAAAATAACTACTAATTTCTTTTGTTATAACAAGTAATATTCACCTCATATGATATTTTCATGTTCAGGATTATTCAATCAAATCAGTAAATGAGTACAAATATTCTAAACAGGTAGTTTTTTCTATAAAAAGAACAAATCCATTTTTTTCGATTATCTCTTCTTCTGCTTACATAACATAAATATATCATGTACAACCATTTATTTATTTATTCATAGTATGTGTTTAACACTCAATCGTATTTCATTCAAATTAATAATCTCTAGTACACAATACATGGTCTCTTTCCCTATACATATATATATATATATATATATATATATATATATATATATATATATATATATATATATATATATATATATATATATATATATACCTATCTCATGTCGCATGCCCTTTAATTTTATTCAAAATTTTACGAATACATTTTTACAATAGGCGCCCAGTTAGTCAACTTCCATCTGGTCTTCATTTTGACTCTACCACTATTACTACTACTACTAATACGTATACTATTATCAACAATATAAATATTAACAACGACTGTTTGTGTACTGTACTGCACTACTTATCGTTATTTCAAACCTATATGTTGATGCTCTTTGATAATTACGACGATGCAATATTGTAACTATATTTCGTAATTAATGGTTTGATTATGTTGCGTTATGATTATTTTCTTGGCTTTTCAATTTTTTAAAATTAATAATCATTTAACTAGGAAAGTTGTCATTAAAAACTGTGAAATTTTTTACACATGGGCAAACTGTTTGGTCTTTCGATATTTATATTTCTTTTTTTGCGCGATTGGATCGACTTCAGTGATATGGTTATGTTTATTGTTATTACTACTAATACTACAATTGTTTTTATGGCTACTACTACTACTACTCATATACAATTAATAACGGAGTTTATTCAATACTAAGGGAATAAGTAAATGTAAGGTAATTTCAGCTGTATCTCTCTCTCTTTCTGAATTAATCGTTGTGCAGGTTTTGCATTTTGTTTTCTATTTTTTTCGTTTGATTTTTTCTAAATAAAAGAACTAGGTGGTTTTTCATTTTTATCTATACGTATACCTCCAAGTTTCTTCATATGTACTTCCCGTGCACTGTGTGTGTGCCACTGTGTGTTTATACGAATCTTCTTTGACCGAGTTCATTTCTTATTTACTTGTTTATTAATCTCTGGAATGTGTTGAAGGTCAACTAACCACGCATGTCTTCAATTTCACACCTTGCACTGCTACCTTGTACACACCACTCTTTTCTAGTAAAGTAGTATGGATTAATCAATCATCATTGTTATCATCATTACTATTATACATATGTGTGATTTATGACTAGTTTTTTGCTAGAAATGTTTTGATGTAATTTTTTCTTCCCCTTCTCCCACCTCTTCATTCTCTTTTCTTAATATAAACGATGTAGTTTACAGAGTATTTTCTACTTTATTTCTGTTTCGAACACGTGTTGGTGAAAAATGGAGAAATATTTCCTGTTATTGTTCTTCTTTTACTTCACACACACACATAGAGCCTTATGATGATTACCAGTATCAAAATATGTACAGTCGTATACATTACTTCTACTGCTATACTACCTATACACCAATCTAGTTAGGAGTAAACCACTGAATTTTTTTTACAACTGATGTTTTTTGATAGTCATTCTTTTTTTGAAAAAACTCGATGTTGATCATGTGTAACAGTGTTCTCTGTGTGTACGTGTGTATTTTACTCATAATTCTCATTGTTGTTTTTGTTGTTATTGCCTTTGTCATAAGCTTTTTCTTAAAGAATTTTTTCTGTGAAATTCCTTGTACAGTTATAATAATAATAATGGTAAAAGCCAAAAACAATTGCTACTACTGACAATTTCGTTCCGCGTTACATGATCTGATGTCTAAAAAATCAGAAAATTTGAACGGCAAATCTGGGATTAATTTTTCTCAGCGTACTTATAGGTGTTGCAAACACACTGTTTGTTTTTATATGCACAAACCACAGTCATTTCTGTGTCTGTCTACGCTTACATATAATAATGATGGTTATCTAATCAAAGTATAAATAGCAATCATTAGGAATTTATCATGTGTTCCGCTGCTTATCAATCAGTGTAATCATTACATGAAAAGTGATACTTCGAGTCGCTTAGTTATGATATAAATGACTGCGTCTTCGATTGTCTTCACATGATTAATCTTTCTGTAGTTTCCGAAGAAATGGTTGCACAATACTGAGTTATTTGTTCATCTTATCATTATTTGCAGGTTGATTCTGTGCCTGTAGGAAACACTAATTAATATCGAGAAATAAATTCCTGAGTTAATCACATAGTAGTACTCGGTACGGGACCGTACTTTCCTACACTCAATCGGGTGTAAGGTCTGTAGTGAACATTTCTATAGGATCAACTTATGCCTGATACTCGTGGAGTATAGGTCACTGACCAGAATTTTCTATGCTGGGCTCTTCTTCCCAGTTGTTGCTAACTGCTATTCATTCTCTGTTGATAGTTACTCTGGCCGTCAGAAGGGGAGTAGGACTCATGATTTCGGCTTTCACTGTGAGACATGAAGATCCTTCAACTCCAAGAGTAGAGTTTAAATTATTCTTCTGATTAGCATTTTCTTAGCAAGGTTGTTTTCTATGAGATAGGGTTGCCAACCTCATACCCAATTCTCCTCTATACAGGCCTACAACTGGCAATAATCCTAGAAAGCCTCCAGGCGGAGTTTCTGTACGATCAGGGATTATTGAGATTCTTGGTTTCTAAAATGATAAATAGTGCAAAGGTTTCAACATGTTTTATGGTAGTCTGGCTCAACTCCGATTACTTTTTTAATAATCCTTAGAATAATAGTTTATCAATCACTTGATTTCGGAACAGATCAAACTGTTTGAACTTCAATCAGAATATCTAGTAGGATAGTCCCTTTTTGGTCAGTACTCGAAAATCAATCAGTTGCTACGTTGCATAATATATAAAAAGAAGGAACTAATAAAATATGTTGATGAGAAATCATTATTATAATAGTTATGTAAAAATCAAGGGACGAATGTTAAGAATAGGTAAAATACAGAAGTGGAAGAAATTCGAAAATAGTTTAAAGATTTCTGAAGGCGTGGGTTTCATCGAAGTTTTGCTACAAACTCACTTCTATACTGATCACCAAGTTAGCGAAATTGGTTGTACAAACTTCTTTTAGATGCAAAGGTTTAGTTTATGAACATGGATTCCAGTGACTTCAGCAATATGCGTAATATATATAATGGATAACTTTACTAGCTTCATTCAATTCTACTCGATGACCTGTGACAACCAAGTGAGCGAGAAAAGAACACATAATCACTCTTATCTGTTCTGTGCTCAACCAAGCCTGATGGTGTTCTGCCCTGAGATGACGTCGAATTGTACGCCCTATATAACTAGCTTCACAGAAGTAGTTGAATTGGTAAATACACATGGATGTGTAGAATTCAGGTAATCTGTCTTTATTAACGGTTGCTTTCATGGGGCGGAGGTAGGAAACGGCATGGGTACCCAACGAAATTAATCGACAAACACACGAAAGAGATGAAAAGAAGAACAAAGATATCTACCGTTCCGAAGGAAGTACTGTTCTTAAAATTATAATTCCTAGATGATGCTACCGAAGAAATTATGATTCAAAGGTTAAGAAAGGCGGTACAGAAAACATTTAATGTAGCCAGAATCAATGCCGTTTTCTACAACTGTCCCTTAATAAGAACTGTTATTTTATAATCAATATGTTGTCATATAATTACTGCCTAACATAACTACTCGATGTGTATTATTTCACTGTTGTAAATCATCTGTGTATATATTAGTGTAGAGCCATGATGAAAAACTGACTGGACATAAATTTCTTCGCTCAGTTAGTTCTTTTTTTACCAAACATAGATGTTATCTTTCAACAGTGATAAGTATGGTTTATTGATTACATTGTAAAAACACGAAAATACAGTTTTTAGAGCCTTAGAGAGAAGAGTTATGTTTAAGTCTGAGTCAACAGTAATGAAATAGAAATTTAGTCAATTACTTCGAAACCATATCAAACTTTTATCAATCTCGATTTGTATCAAGTTTCACATCAAACTACATACGGAAATCACAAACGCATTTAACAGAAAGTATTGAAAGATCTTAGTTAACGAACGAACACTGTTAAAAAACAGGGAATAACTTCATTTGCGTAAATATCTTGTATGTGAACCGCAACTTCAGTTTCTTAATACATCGAGTCAGTTAACTAGTGGTTCAGTCTATCTGGAATTAGGTTCTATAAACAAATCGTCAGTTCAGCTAGCTCACTTATTTCGTTATTTCTATCAGTCGTTAAAAACCGCCATAATAATTTTTCTTGAAAGACTGAAGCACAAAATAAAGATAATATTGTCAATATTAATAATAGGAGGCAGCTCTATCTCGGTAACGAATTCTGAATAGGACAAAACATCCGTCCTGAATTCATTTGTTAAGTACATATCAAGCATGCTTAAAAAATTTCTTGAGTTTTGGTTGTCAACACTATCACTAGATTGAGTGACGACTTGGAAACGGACTTAATAAAAGAAATACAAGTATGTAGATGGTTACTTAGTCAATATTTTCCGTTGACATTGAGAGATATTTGTTTTCGGATAGGGGACGAATATTTCTTCCTACCACCCTTAAACCCACTTGACTTTAACTAAATTTTTGGGCTATATTAGTAAGTGAATTTTTATGACGGTAAACATCATCTATTGATCAGTTCGATCAGTTTTAGGTTAACAAAGGAACGATTATTTTCATTTTAAAAATGACCTTTTAATTTCACCTAAAATATTTCAATTAACAGTTGTTACAACCAATGATGACATTGGTTGTAACGTGTAACTAAAGTAACCCATTGTGTCATTGAATAACAATAAAGAGAAGTCAGAGAGGAAAATTCTTATTGAAATCATGAACCGATCTCCGTTAGATCACAACTGAAAATCTGTAAGCACTGAACGGTTACTTCGTCCTACTATGGGGCTCCTCAGAAGTGCTCATTCATCTTGTTTACCAGCTGTTTAGAACCAACACGATCTGATGAATTCAAATTATTCTTGCTTAATGTGATTATAATTTAATTGAATATAAGTTCTCTGTCGCCTACTGTCTCGCTCACTCACTCAATGACAGCTCAGATAGCATAAATTCTTCTGATCGTGCCGGGTTATTGATAAATAGCTTATGTCATGTGAATGCATAAACATTTATAGCAGAAACGGTGAAATATTAGACTTAGCATATTTTTGATGT